TAATTTCTATTTTCTTTTAGATTATTTTTTATTTTCATTATTTTTAATTTTTATTCTCTTTCATATTTGAATGGGTTATATATAGAAGACACATTTTACTAATAGAGAAAAGCATTAGATTGTATTTTGAAATTTTTTTTTTATGTAAATATTTTAGTTTAAATCAGTATTTATAATATAATTTTTTTATATATTTTTTTGTGATTAATATCTATATTGCATATAGTTTGATCCACGCACATTGCTATAATACTAAGATAAAATATTTAGTTTGAGTTAACTGTTTCTTTTAATTTTAGATCATTCATTCGTAATCCCATTAAGAGTCCGTTTACCGTTAGCAATTTAAGGGGATCTTCAATGCGTATCTATTTGCGATTTTGTTTTCTCTCTTGTGTTTTTGTTGCCTTCTTCAGAGAATCACTTTCGCTCTCTGAGAACAGCTGTGGCTGACTGAAGCTTTCGTCAAGTTATTGCCAAAAGCTCGCTGAATGCAATCCACATGGCAACAACATCCTTGAACAAAAGGATATGCGCGTGCTTTTGTGGCCAGTACGCGACGTTAACTCATGGCATACACACACGGCAGCGGCAAGTCCGACCCACACACAGACAGAGACACACACACGATATACATATACACGGACACGCTCACGCTTACGCACACGCAAACGCACACGCACACACACAGGCGCAGCCAAAAAGAGTTTGTGTTTGGAAATTGAAGCGCCAAGTGCCAGTGGCCTAGAAATAATGTGTGAAAATAAAAGTTGAAATTAATAAATAAGAAAATTCCATGTGCAACGCTGTCGATGAAAAGTGCAAGTGAAAAGTGCCTAAAGCAGAGCCACACACACACACAACCATTGCTGAACACACACACACGCGCATACACAGTGAGACCCACACAAAGAAAACATCATATGCCAGAGGCAGGCTGTCGCTTGGCAGGCACATTGACAGCAACAGCAACATAAAGGCAGCAGGAGCAGCAAAAAGCATTTTGTGTATCCTATTTTGTGTGTGAGCGAGCGCGTGTCCAAGTCCGTGTCCGTGTCCTTTGCCACTGCCACAGCAGTAGCGACAACAAAAGCAGCCAACGCTAGTAGCAGCAGCAGCAGTAGCAACAACAACAACAACAACAGCAACGACAACAATAAGGGCAACAGCCAACCGTCGCTCAGCAATTACGGCGTGTAGTTGCTATAATGATAGATTTCAAAACAAAATTGAGCAAATTATCGTATAAAACGTGCCCCGGTTGGAAAATCTAAAAATAACACAACGCCAATTCCGAGCCGAAGTCGAACTCGAAGTCGAAGTGGAAGTGGAAGTGGAAGTCAAAGTCGAAGCCAAAAACCAAGTGCCGTCTGCCCAACTGACTTTAAATTATGCATGCACATTGATTTTCTGAGGCGTCGCCGTCGATGTCGTTTTCGTCTTTACTTTCCTATTCATTGTCGTTAACAACAACAACAACAACAACATCATCTACATCAGTAACATCAACAGCAACAACAGCAACAGGAACAGACCCTGCCTATATATTGGCAATCTCGTAAAGTCATTTCTCGTCCTGCGTTCAGCCCGCATCGCATGTTATCAACGGAACTGACGTCGACGGCGTTGTGGAATGCGAATTATCAGCGCACCAACGGCCTAACAAAAGGTAAGCACTAACAGCAGCAGCAACAGCAGCAACAACAACAACCGCTAGTCATTACATTAGGCACAAGCCACAACATATTATGCATACGCATGATGTGCGCGGGCCCTCGGGACGTATGTGTAATATTCGAAATCATTCGGCAAAATGTATACAAAGATGCGCCCAAGATAGCAAGCATATGAAATTTAATGGCTGTTCATTATGTGAAAAAAGTCGAACAAGCTAAACGAAAGCTATTAAAATTACGGTAAATGAGTGCAAGCTAAACGTCAATAGCAAAAATTGGCGGGGATCATATACTTGGAGTCTGACAATAAATAGAAAGTACATATAAGTGTATATCTGTTCTTCAACATATAATTTAAAAAATATATAAATAAAGATTTTCATTTTGATATGATGTATAAAGAAATACATATATTTTAAAATCAATTATATATTTACATATAAATCGAAAATGCATTTATATTTACATGTTTATATATATGTATAAATATTAATAAATGAATATACTTCTCTTATCATAACAGGAAGAAAATCTTTATTTATTTGCTGAATTAATTAATAATTATTTATAAATAAATAAAAAAAAAAAGTTTGATGAAGAAAGATATATATTATAAAAAAAAAAATTATAAATTTATATGAAAGCGCATATATGTACATACATATTTACTACTCTCATCACAGCAAAAGGAAAGTTTTATTTATTCGCTGAATTAATTAATTATAATTAAATTCAAATCAAGCAAACTTTATTCTGCTCTGCACTGAGAATGAATTCATAAAGCAGAGCTGAATAATATTATGCTGGCTACTATCGATTGATTTGAGTTGCCCAAGTTGTTGGCACAAGTAAACAACAAGTCTTAACAATGAAAATTGTAAATTTGTTATACATTGCCATAAATTTTTATAGTACTTTACTAAATTTTGAATCAAAACATAATTCCTGATTCCCCAGTAAAAGTTGAGCTAACTGACCAATGGCTGCTCATTATGGTTAAAGTTTAGCCAGTTAATCCATTACACACAGGAGCAGTTTATTAAGTGCGATAATAGTTAAGCTCTTACAAGCTTCAACTTGTGTAATGCACCCTCAACAACATAATTTGCTTGTTATCAGAGTGCGCAAATTGAGTTGGAGCTCCCGTGTCATAGTTGCCCTTTGTCGCATCGGCAAATTTAATTAGACTGCCATAAAGCACATTCGCAGCTCATTTGCTGCGCTTATTAACACATGCACATGCACTCATTGACACCCTCTCACGCACACCCACACACATACACACACACACACTCAGGCAGAGACTCCGTTATGCTTTATTCTTTGTGCTCAGCTGCCAGAGGACTGCGATGCTGCGTCATTGTTGCCATTATATTTGCGTTTAATCTGATTTCAATTATAATTTCATTTAACAGCGCTAATGCGCTTTGGCAGCCACTCGCAGTGGCAGCCGTTGGAGCCACTGTCCCTCCCAAGCGCCCATCCTTCCCTATCTGTGCCTATGCCTGTGACCCTATTTCTCTCTTTCTCTCCCGCTCTCTCCCGCTCCCCCTCCCCAGGCGTTTCCTGCCTATTTGCTGTGCCCCTTCTTAAATGCAATTTATTACGCTGACAGCCTCTTGGTAGCTGAGGGCGTTCGAATTTCCATGCATGCGCTTTGGACAGCGTCAACGGTAACTGGCACCGGAAATACAGTTATAAAATGTCAACAACAATGCAAACTCATGCTAGTTCTACATTTCCGGTATGCAAGTTGCCCAATGACGGCGTTGACAACGCGTTTGCATATGTAAATGTGTGTATGTGTGTGTAAATGTGTGTGTGTGGGCTGGCTGACGTTGCTGAAACGATTTTATGACTTGATGTCATGCATTGAGCAACAACAACGCAATAACAGAAGCAATAACAGCCACAACACCCACACACACATACACACACACCACAAACACACACACACACGAATGTGCAATTGTAAATTTGGTTAAGCATGCAATAGGGGCGAAAGTTTTGAGTTTATAGCTCCTATTAAGGGACCCAAATTGCATTAATTATACAAATTGTTGGCACATTATAAATAACCATGCAGTTTTGCATATTTTTAGGCAATACAACAGAAATTTCCGGGAAATTATACAACTTAGCTCTATGTCAATGATTGAAGCGATTTTGACAGATATAATACAAATTATGACAGATTTAGATTCATTAAATTTGAGTGAGCTTTTTGATATTTAAATTCTGCACACTGTTGAATGAGGGCTTGACTAAGTGATTATAGATTAAAGAAATTAAAAATTAATATAAAAGAATCAATGATATCATCTTATACCAAACCGCCAGAAGGCTTAACCACTTTTCCAAGCGAAAATTCTTATGTATGAAAAAATATTAAATAGATTGAAGCAAATAATATTAGAAATCAATTTGATTTTTCATATCGATTGAGTTTGCAGCTTTATCAACAATGGCCAAATATTTGTATTTTTATAGATTACAGAATATTTGAAATTATATTTATACATTTTATTAATTTTTATGAAAAACTGAGTAATATTGTAAATGAGTATTTTTGTGACTTAATGGCAGTTATATATGTATAACGCTAATATATATACTTATACATACATATATCTAAATTAATAACATTTATTAATATTAAAATTTCATCTAAAAAAGATTTCTTCATATTACTATATAAAATCCTAAATTATATACATTTAAATTGTATACATAACTTACATATGTATATTTAAAATCTTAATTATTCTTTCATATTTATTTATTATCTCTTATTTATTCTTTCATATCATAAACTTAAAAAGTTATCTGCAGAGCAACATCTAATGTACATTTCCTCTATCTGTCTTTTTCTCACGCGCAGATGAGGCTTGCCTGTCGACGACATATGAAAATTGCAGAACAGAAACAGCGACAACAGCAGCAGCAGCAGCAGCAGCAACAGCAGCAGCAACATCAGCCGCAGCAATGACCAAACAATTGACAACAGCAACGGCGACAAATGCAGCGTCTAGCATCACACAAACGGCTAATTTGGCGCCCACGGTGATATCTCCCACAACACCAGGCGCGACAACAACAACAACAGACGTAGCAGCGCCAGCTGCAGCAGAGACAATAAAGACGCAGACGCAGTGCAGAACAAAAGCCTCCTCGGCAGCATCAACAGCATCAGCAGCATCAGCATCGGCGACTGCAACAAAAACAACTTCATCAACGGCATCAAGTGATGCCAGCGGCCGTTCGGCGGCTCTGGAACGTGCCTACGTCCATGATGTGTATGAGCACTGCGAGGAGCCGGCGAGGCCGGCGCGACCGCGAGTGGCACAGTTTCTGGGGAACCTGGAGCCGGGCTCGGTGGTCTGCGACGTGGGCTGCGGCAGTGGGCGTTACCTGACCCAGTGCAATCCCGCCATATGCACCATTGGCGTCGATCGCTGCTATCGCCTCAGCAAGGTGGCGCACGAGAAGGGAGGCGAGGTGAGTGGGCTGGCCACACTGAATGCCTTGCAATTGTAATTGATGTGGGTAAATTACTTTGAAGTGGGTCTTACAGCTGTGTGGGGGCGTGTCTGGCTGGATAGATAGATGCACATTTTTGTATTCATGCGAACAATAGTTCATTTGTCCTACTCTTACCTCCCCCCTCTCTCTCTCTCTCTCCCACTCGCTATCGCTATCGCTTTATACTGTTGGCATATAATTGACCCATTTTAGCCATGGCCAAGCCATCGCCTTTATTGCAGCGCATAAATTATGCTTATCATTTGAAATTATTTGCACATGTTCCCATGGCTTTAGCGAGCGCTGAGCTGAGCTTTAATGCCCCCATAATTGCAATGGCCAACAATGGAGCCATAAAACGAACAGCGTTTTGGTCATTAGAGAGCAACTAATAAAGTGCAGGCGTCGCTGCAGTCAAGTGCATTCAAATCGATAACAAGTCCAACTGAGAATTGCCAACTGGAGCCTCTCTGGCTCTGGCTCCGCTCGACAGCAGGCGGCAATATTTCTTGGCCTGCCTGGCTGCAAAGCTGTGCAAATTTAAATGCTCAAATTTATTGCTTTCCATTCAGTGCTTGACCAAAAGTTTGTGCTACAACATTTTTAATAGAACTACATGCAAGAATGCAGCACCGACTGCATAATACTCATTCATAGTCCAGAAATAGTTGAATTTCGGCTTGCTAAATCTCGAGAGGGTAATTGAAACTCTTGATGCAGAGCTTGAGTGATAATTTGTTTACATATATCTAGGTATATATACATATGTATCTATGTTTATTAGTCGAGCTGTACAGCAACTTACGTAGATATCTCTCGGACAAACTGATGAATGGACAGAAGGACGTACGGATTACAAATACGAAAAATACTCCTTTCTTTTTCTGTGCATATTTTGCAATATGAGGAATACAGTTTTACTGCAGCTTGAAGGTAGAAATTGAAATGTTTCATGAATTGCAAACTTTTTAATAAGGAATACGGTTAATTTATGCATATATAATATATATATATTCGAGAAACCAATTTAAAGTCTTATGCAGTACACTGCCAGATGAGTCTAGTTTTACATCATATACGCCAGCACGAGTCACTACAGAGTGAGCGCAAACTAGAAAAGCATTTACAAATGCAAATTATAAATAAAGTTCAGCCTTATAGAAAACAAAACAAGTTTTCCCCAAGGCAATTTGTATGAATAATAATGAAGCCAATTATTCAGCTTGCTTCTGTAATACATTATATATGTATAAATATACATATATTTGTATGTATGCATATACATATATATATATTACACTTCATTTAGATATTTATGGCATTCTTTAAAAATGCAACTACTTTGCAGTTAGTCGGTTGCCGTTGAATTAATTTTCATTGTGTTCACTTGTTGTTCAATTTTATCGTTGTTTCTCTTTTCTCTGTTGTTGTTGTTGTTGTTGTGAAGTCCACAACATTTCCGTTTTCTTTATAGCAGCGAACAATAAATTTCGTTCCCCAGCTGCCAGCTCCCAGCGCCCAGTTCCCAGCTCCCAGCTCCCAGCTCCCAGAGGTATGCAATAGTTTTTGCAATAATCTATTACACGCGCTTCGTTTCGCTTGGCTTCGCTTATTTATGGTGCCATTTGCAGGCGAGAAATGCCATTTTCTAAGAAATGCATACTATTCACCGCTCCACAATCATCATGCGAGAGTGTGGGAGGGAGGGGGCGAGGGAGTGCGCCTCTTAGCGCCGCGCCCTAGGCCCTGTTGCAGGCATTTTTCGCATTTAAATTGCATTCGCTGGCATTGCGTGGGGCTTGAAGTTCGCATGTAATAATGGCAAGGACAACAACGAGGACGGAGACGACGTCGCCGTCGCCGTCGCCTAGGGTTACTGTTCAATGGAATTGCAAGCGGCCAGGGTTGCCACCTTGCCGTCTCCTAGCCAAGCGGCAAAGTGCACACAATTTAGTCTAAATGCTTTCATTTATTTAATAACCAGTCCCATTGCCATTATCCCCGGACAGGGGAGACGGCGTAACGTGTCCATGATGGTTTGATTGTTGCAATTGTTGAGTCCTTGACATTTCATTGTTATCCATTAGGGACAATTATATTTTTGTTGGAATTATTATTAAACCTAAAATCGTACGAACAAAATTGCGATTAGTATTGATTAGATCAGTTTAAGAGCATTGAAAGGTCTGAAATTATATATTTAAAGGCTAATATCTAATTTAAGCGAAATTAGCTTCAATGAAAATGTGTAATTCTTTTTATTAGTAGGTAAAGAATCAAAGAGTAGGTAAGGATCAAGCTACATCCCCATATTGTGGCCAAGATTTGTTTCATAAGTTGCCTATTCTGTATATGTCCGAAACGTTGGTAAAATGTTCCATAAACTGAAAATACTAGATACTTTAGTTTATCATATAGAAAACCACAGTCAGACAGAGACAGCTCTAAGAAATGCATGAACAATCTATCTATACAGTCAGACAGAGACAGCTCTAAGAAATGCATGAACAATCTATAGATTTTTCAGTCAATAACAGAGATTATGGAAAAATAATAAATATACGAAAATTTACCACTCTATTAGCTGATTCTTGACTGCAATAAATATAGAAAATTTACCGAAATTTGTGAGGTATAGAAAAGAAGTACAATTTCTCTTCTCTTCTCTCTCTCTCTACTCAGCAGAACTATCTGCTTTATAAATTAAGACTGAATTAGTTATTGAAGCCAAATTACATGGAGTATGTCGCAAAAAATATCTCTAAAAAAATAGTATTATTGAGCTATGCAGATAATGTATGCAATATTAAATGCCCACAAGCGGAATGTTGCTCTCTGCATTTATATAAACGCATTTGAATCGCTGAGCATGCCAAGGGCACTATTTAAATTACAATATGTCGAATTTGTTGTTTTTTTTGTTGAATGCGGATGGTATGTCATCCGTGTGAGTGTGTGTGTGTGTTAAATAAACTTAAATGCATAAAATGTAAAAAGCGTAAGCGACTCACGTGACCTGCATACGAATGCAGTTTGATACTTTGATTGCGACTGTTACTGTTGCCATTTTTCCACAAAAAAAAAAAAAAAAAAAAAAAAGAAGAAGAGAAGAAGAAGAGAAGAGCAAGATAAAAACGAAAACTATGTGAAAAACCAATTTAACTTCGACTATATTTACATATATCTGCTGTGCTGTTGCTGTTGCTCTTGCTGCTGCTGCTGCTGGTACAAAAGTTTCAGTCGCTGTCAGGCAACTTTGATTTCAGAGCTCGTGCATGGCCTGATTTACTATAATTTTGTAAAGCAAAAAAAAAAAAAAAAAAAAAAAAAAACTGCCAAGTCGAGCAGGCTATGCAGCAGGCATTAAGCAAATAACACACACACACACACACATACATAGATTCGTGCACGCAGCCTGCACTCATAAATTTTGTTGCTGCCCGAAATGACGCATTGAAAAGGAAAAACAAGAAGGCAGCAAATAAAAAGCCCCAAAACACAAAAAAAAAAGGATGAACTCAGCGAATGCAATGAGATTCGTTGCCAGCTCTTCCTMTTCTTCTTCTTCCTTCGCTGCTTCTATCGCTTTTCAGGCCAAATCTTTGAGCTTTGTGCCCGTCGACTGCTGTCGACCTGCCGCAGCCATCAAGACTTCCACCTGCTCCCTTCGTTTTTATGTGCTCTGTGGTTCGTTTAAGCGCCATTTAAATAAGCTGCTGCCAGCCAAAGCAGGCTAACACAGATGTACACAGATATACATATACACCTGCATATATATAGACTTGAATTTTTCTATATGTATTTGCAATTGTTTTTTTTTTTTTGTTTCTACTCGCTTTACTATGCAGCTTGGCCGTGCTTTGGCCCCCCTATTAGTGTGCAACATGGCGTATGCGTAACGTGTTTCACCTGACGCTCACAATATTAAGACGGAGCTGCATTGAAAACTTGTCAACATAAATTTCTAAAGCGTAATGTGCACGACCAGTGTGACATTACATACCCACAAAGAGACTGTGTGTATGTATGTGTGTGTGTGTGTGTGTTTGTGAAAAATGGCAACTGCTATAAATACAATTTGTAAAGAGTATGGAGAAATGTCAGCGCGTGCATTCATGACACCGGAACATGTGTTTAAAAAAGAATAAAAATCGAAGAACAAAAAAAAAAACACGCACACACACGTACAAACGCACACACACACACACATGGACTACCCACAGCACTAAAGTCGAAAGCGAATGGGCGGCAGTTTTATGTGCAGCTCCATACAAATGCCAAAGTCGCATAAACAATGCCACGCCCACTCGTGGGCAGCGAAATGGACTCGATTTTTCTTTTCTTTTTTTTTTCAATTCTGCAGAAATATTTATATGGAGCGAAATATAAAAAAGCTGGCGAAAGGATTATTGTGGTTTAATAAAGATTGTTTATCCATATAGATGTAGAATGGTTAAGACTCGGCATATATATAGATAGATATATATATAGATGTAGTCTAAATATATAAATTACTTTGCTGCATATATGCTATGCTTTGAGTTTACAGAGGAAACATTTTAGTTTTCTCTGTGATTTCTGAAACTTTTGCTGTGGCTTTACATAATTTCTATTGCAAGTCAGGTTACAAACTTGACGAACTTTCCATTTCGTGGAAAAATGAGAAACTTTCTCGTCATCCACATAACATTTGGCGTTGCATTTGCACGACCTCAGCTCCTGCAGTTGTCAACTCGGAGAGCAAACACTTTACTTAATTGATATTTTGCTGCTGATGTTCAACAAAAATTAAGAAAAATGAGAAAAATAAGAAAAAAAGGAAAGAGAACGAAAATAAAAGTGTGTTGCCACAAGTTGAGCTGCAACGTCTGTTGCATAGGTCCTTGGATGACATGCCCAAGTACCTGCCTGGTCAGCTGCCGTTGTTGCAGATCCACACAGCGAGACGAGGGGCTGCAGGGCTCCCGCTTTGGCTGGTGGGTCAAGGCTGTTGCAGTACCACACACACACACACACAGAGCAAACGATATCTGGCATTATTGCAACGTACAAATTATATTTGAGGCACGTGCAACGCAAGAGGGGCCACATATGCCCAGCCATTGTCCAAATGAATAGATATTTCACACAAATTCACGTAGCCAGGCAGAGGCTGGCAAGAGTAACGGCATTTTGATATTGGTTTGGCAACACGATGCATTAATTCATTCAGTGTAATCGATGCTAGTTTATTTCAAATCGCATTTCATGGAAAATTGCAATTGAAACGTTAAATGATTGAGCTCCTCGTATACGTGCGAGCAAGTCCATTGCATTACGCTCGTCCACCTACGGATTCAATTTGTCCCCGATTTGTTTACTTCCCTTTTGATCAAAGTTAATTGACACTTTGAACACTGGCCGTAACAGGGGAATGAATATAAACGACGTGTATTTATAAAAAATATATATAAAAATAAACAAGCCACACACACACATACACACGCACCTTCACATGCATGCAGTTGAGTAAGGTCAGTTCACTGGGCACACATTTTTTAAACGAACTTTTTCAATTGAAGCGAACAGAAACAAGACCAACTCAATGCAGATGGGCCAACCGACCACTACATGTAAGCATGCGATTGTGTGTGTGCGTGTGTGTGTGTGTGAGTCTGTATACACTCGCTCTGGCACTTCAATGGCAAAGTGGGTAAACCAACTAGCAATTTTCATGAGGCGAGCGTGTTAACTTTGTTTTCACCCAGCTGAACAGAAATTCAGTTAATTGCAAACTCTTGTTGCCAACCGAAAACTTGCAACTATAATTTCGGCAGCTATGCAAATTGCATTAAAGTATTTTCTATGAAAATCCAAAAACTGTTTTCATTTCATTTCTAATTACCGTCTCTGGCAAACCTGAAACCAGACTCAAACTTTGTTAAGCTCATGCATAAGAAATATTTAATGCAATTATAGGTAGTTGCTTATTCAGTTAAATTATATTAAATTTGAGTGGGATATATACATATATTGTAGTTAGGTATACTTTATTACTACTTCAGTAATAAGAAAAAACTTTTTGATTTGGTTAACTTAACAACAAATAAATTCATGTCATATATCTTAATAAATTTAAATTTTAATCAAATGAAACTCCTTATAAATATGTTTAGCTATTGCTAGGACTATAATTTATTTATTTAAATTTTAATATTACTTTCACATTTTTTATTTTTTTATTCAATTTTTTTTTTTTTTACCTTTGACTTTATGTTCAATCAATCTCTTGCATCAGCTCTCGCGTAATATTTGCTTGAAGCCGTATTCAATTCAAATTCCTCACAGTACGGCTAACTATAAATGCAAAGCCGTAAAATGCAGCTTGGCCTTTAGAATTTGTTGCATTGCTAGTGTCTCAGAGGTTTTCGGTTTGCGCAACATTCTCAAGTGAAATTAATAAAATGTAACTAAAGGCTAGCAGGAGCAGTAGGAGCAGCAGGAGCAGCGCAGGAATGCCTTTGGTTGGTTACTTAGCCAGCGGTCAGCTTTGCTTAGCTGCAGTTATGCAGCAGGAGGCACTTGCAGTAGGTTGAGGCGTGGGCGTAGTAGGTGGGGCTAGTTGCGAAGAGGATCTATTATAGGAGTGGAGGAGCAGAGAGAGAGACGGTGTTGGCTTGGCGTCTTGCGTAATTTAATTGGCTGAGAATGCAGTAGCTTTAACTCGTATTTCCCTTGGCACCGAGTTGCTCGAAATTACATTGCGCTCTTTGGCCCACAGGTGGCGCTGTGTGACAATCTGGAGCTGCCGTTTCGCGATGATAGCTTCGATGCGGTGCTCTCGCTGGCCGTAGTGCATCACTTTGCCACCACGGAACGTCGCGTCAGAGCGCTGAGGGAACTGGCCCGCATTCTGCGCGTAGGCGGCCGTGTGGTAATCACTGTGTGGGCGCTGGAGCAGCGCCATCGACGCTTCGAGTCGCAGGATGTGCTGATACCCTGGCAGCCGCCCAAGAATCGCACCTACTCCTACTCGTACTCCGACGAGGAGGAGGACGGAGACTTTCTGCCGCCCTATCATGCATACACGGAGGACTCGACCAATTCCAGTCGCTCGGCCGGCGATGGCGACAGCTCAAGCCTCAGCTCATCCTCGCCCGGCGAGTCCTGCTACAGCTTTGTGCGCCGTGCCATACAAGTGAGTGCAGCCGTCGATATCAGGATGTGCTTAGGCATTACTAATTTGTGGTTTCCCTTTGCAGAAATTGGCTGGCGGACGTCGTCATGCTTGGTTCCTGGACTCCTGGACCTCCAAGGACACCAAGAACGACAGCAGCCTGGACTACGAGGATGCCAAGGATCTGCCCATCGAGCTGCGTCGCCTCGAAGACTTTGAGGACTTCCCCGATCCGCCGCTCTCCGCGGGCCTCAAGTCCCGCAGCTTGGGCAGCATCCTGCAGCCGCCGCCGCGCCAAATCGTGCGCTCGCGCTCCAGCGTGCCCAGTCTAGGCGGTCCCCTGGTGCCCGTCGAGACGAAAGCCAGCGCCACTGCCGCCCTACTGCTCAGCGCGCCCGATGCCCAGATGCCGCTCAATGGGCGGCACTCGCCCACGAGCACCGCCAGTGCGGGCAGCACGCTGAGCCGCCGGCCCAAGCTGATCAAGCAGAAGCAGTCGCTATGTGAGGACGACATCACACAGCTGGCAGACGCAGCGCCTGACGCTGAGGCAGCGTTCCACATGGTCAGCAGCTACAATGGCGCCAATGGAGCAGTCAGCAGCAGCCTCTACGCGCGCTCTGACGCCAATCCAGCGGCAGTCAGCTGTCAGCAGCCCAGCAACTCCGCCTCGGCGACGGCAGCAGCGGCGCCCACAACAGCTGCTGGAGCGGCGCCCAGCTTCCTGCGCAAGCAGAGCTCCCTGAACGAGGAGCTGATGGCGGGCAATCGACTGCGCGAGAAGGAGCGGGTGCGCAAGCGCATACAGAAGCAGACCTCGCTGAACGAGGCCTTCCTCTGCCGCTCGGCGCTGTTCTCGAAGCGGCTGCAGCTCATCCGGGAGGGATTCACCACCAAGATCAAGAGCTCGACGGGCAGCTTGGAGCGCGTGACCAAGACGGGCATCACGAAGCTCATTCAGAACATCAAAATCTCGCCCGCCAGCCAGACGGCGGCTAACCCGCCCGGCAATCCCCAGCAGGCGAACAACAACAATAAGCAGCCCACGACGCCAGCTGCGCAGACCCTGCAGCAGCAGCAGCAGCAGCATCAGCACCACCACCACCACCATCATCATCACACGAGCAACGCGGGCAGCCTGTTCCCGGCCCACCTGCTGCTGTCGACGGCGACCACTGGTCCAGTCAGCTACTGCAGCGTCGTGGACTGCAGCGCGCCCAACATCTGCCACTGCAGCGCCTATCAGCAGGACTGCGTGACCTGCGTGGCCTGCGCCGAGAGCGAGCAGGGCAACGCGCGCCGGCACTCGCGCGAGTCCGGCTCCGACTCGTCCAAGGACAGCAGCCTGCAGTCGGACACGAGCATTGAGTCCGAGGACAGCTTCGCCTCGGTCATTTTCATACCCAAGCCGGAGCAGCATCAGCAGCAGCTCAACTACCAGCAGCAGCATCAGAACTCCAACTCAAGCTCCAGCAACTCCAGCTCCAGCAATGGAGCCCAGGCGGCCTTGGCTGCGGCGTCCAATCCCAACGCAGCCGCCCAGCCCAGCTGTCTGGCGCGTCTGCCGCCCACACACTCCGTGCCAACATCGCCGCTTGTGATGCCCTGCCCGCCGACTCCTGCCCACTCACCAGCCGCCATTCAGGGCGCGGTCACCTCGCCGCCCCAGTCGACGGCGGCCGTGACGGCAGCGATGGCCATCTTGACGCCCGTCGCCAGGCCAAACCAAGCGCGCTTCAATTTTGACGAGGCGCACATCAAGCAGCAACAGCAGGAGCAACCGCAGCAGCAGCAGCAACCGCAGCAGCAGCAACCGCAGCAGCAGCAACCGCAGCAGCCGCAACAGCCAGCGATACCCAAGATCACGAGACAAGCGATACGTGAAATGCCGCCCATACCCAAGTTCCGCAAGCAGCAGTCGCTGCAGCTGCAGCGCCAGAACTTTCCCATCGTGCGACGGGCGTCCGGCTCGGGCGCGGCCAGCAGCAGCAGCAGCGCCAGCAAGCTGCTCTCGCTGGAGCTGTTCAATCCGGCCACCGATGATCTGGACAGCGACTCCAGTGAGCCCTCCTCGCCGGACTCCATTGACAGTGTGATCAGCGCGCCGCGCTCCGCCCAGCTGCTCTCGGCCCCGAGCACTGGCACAGGCAAGTCCAGCGACGAGTCGGAGCCGGCGCTGGTGCAGCTCATCACGATCAACCAGGAGCAGTACCACAAGGGCGAGCTGCAGATCAACAGTGCCACGCCCAACGAAAACGACATCATACTCAATGCGGACAGCGCTCCGCTGCTGCCCAAGAAGCGCGAGGCTGGCCAGGCACAGGCCCAGCAGCCGCACGACTGCGCCGAGTTCGCGGAGCAGCTGTCGGCGCAGCTGCAGCGCGAGCTGGACGACAAGAGCAATGGAGCAGAGTGTCGCAGCTTGGATAGCATCGGCGACATTGGGGAGTACTTGAGCGGCGCCGGCAGTGCGGGTGGCGGCAGTTCGAGCAGCGGCTCCAAGAAGCGCTCCAATGGCGATCTGAGCGCACTGCGGGACGAGCTGCGCGAGCGACGTCTGATGCTGGCCAATCTGTCGACCCAGCCCAGCCTGCAGCAGTCGCCCATATCGTCGTCCACCTCCTCGCTTTCGTCCCAAACGCGCAGCTTCACCATACACGAGGAGCAGGAGGGCGAGGAGGAGGATGAGGAGAACGAACGCAGCTACACGCTGGGCATCTACGAGCACTGCAAGATCTCCAAGTTCAACTACAAGCGCCATCGCCACTATAATCTCAACCCGGAGACGGCCTACCTGCTCCAGGAGGATGGCGACAGCGACGTCCGCGACGACGAATATCGTGAGTAGACAATGTCCTGTATGTTAGGGACTCTAAGCTATAATCCATTTGGTTTCCCTACGCAGCCATACCCGAGGAGGATGAGGATGCCGAGGCGCTGGAGGCACGCGGCGGCGACCAGCTGGGCGAGGGCATGCACGAGTACGGGCAGCGCAGGCGCAACTTCAGTGCCATCAAATCGGTGACCTCCAGTGCGTCCAGCTCCACGGAAACACCACCTGCGCAGCAGCCCACACAGCAGCAGGCGCTGCAGCAGCGCACCTCTGCCGACTCGCTGGAGCACTCGAATAGCTCAAACACCTCGCTGGACAGCCCCTCCCAGGGCGGCTCCACCACCCATCATCGCTACTACCACGTGTTCCGCGAGGGCGAGCTGGACGCGCTGATCAATCACCATGTGGCCAGTCTTCATATTGTGAGCTCCTACTACGAGCGGGCCAGCTGGTGCGTTGTGGCCGAGAAGGTGCAGGTGTGGACGATCTAAGTTAGTAATCTAAGAGTAAAATAATAATAATAATTTAAAAAAAAAAAAAAAGCTAAAATAATCTATTTATAAACAACAAGTGTAATTGGAAAACCCAAAAAGTCTCTGAAGCCCCCAAAGGAATTGTTAAATTTAGTCTTTATTCATAGTTGAGAGAACGCAAAATTCTAGCACTAAATTTTAAGTATTCGTAACGACTCTTGCTTAGGGTTGCCAGGCCTGCTCAACGGCAGGGCTGCCGCACTGCATTGAAATTGAATTTCAAGTAAACCGTTTAGTTCTTAAGCCAAAATCGAAAGAAACAAAATCGAAACAACGCAAATTACGAATGGGAGAAAAAGTATTGTATCAAAACTAAACAAATTTATCGATATATATACAAAGATCACTTACAACGACTATCGAATTTCATTTACCATCACGACTTGGGAATATTTTCTAAATACCATTTGATTTCACACATCCATACATATACGAATAATTACAGTAATAGCGAAAATCTAACTAGGAGTTACTTAAACCGAAAATCAATAGAGAAAATGCAAAAACCATATCTAAACATCTATATATATACCAAGGCTTTATACACGAAACATAATAAAAATATTGTCGAAAAACTGAAATCTATATAACCACATATACAACTATTAAAATGCAAGTGAAAATCAATACGTAAGTTTTCTAATATCAATAACTGCATTTAACAATACTCAATGCAAAACTAATCAAAAGGGAAAAGCAGCAGAAATATATAGAATCGTATATACATTTTGCAAAGCTCACAATAATAATTGTATAACAATTTCAATAATTTTTTTGTAACTTTCCAACTTTGATATTTACTTAGCACATATTTGTTTCTATTAAAAGCAAAAAAAGCAAACAATAAATAAAAACATAAACGATTTAAGCGAAACACTTCCCAAACGGCCAACAATCCCGAACATATGAAATATTAAACAAAATATATGTTAATAACTCTTTTTTGTCACCTAAGGCGAAGTTATTTAAAAAATAACGCAAGTTTTCAATATGTATATTTCGACTGTACATGAGATTTTTAGATAGCTAAACTAAACTTTATACCATACAATATTAGAAAATGAAAAGTTGGATGATTGAATTAGAACGCAACTTCGAGACACTATGAGATCGATTTATAATTACGTATATGCGCTCGATTTGCTGAATATGTATTTACAGAATATTATAGTATATACATAATTAGTATTATGTAACTTGAAAATACGTATTATGTATTTGCACGACCCACACAGAGATAGACACAACAGCTGCAAAAAGTAACATACACTACCAGACAAATTCAATAAATTAAAAACAAAATGGAAAAACAATTTGTTAAGCGAAAAGAGATACATTTAATAAACTACAGCTACCAATACTTACAAATGAAAAATATATTTTGCCTATTTCATTATTTCATAACGTTCTTTTTTAAAGGAAATATCTCACGGGCTTGGCAGCACTTTTACGATTTGGCAGCACTGTTAATATGCAGGTGATGGCAGCACTACGTCGAGAAGTAAACTTATCGAAAATATTCGATTCGTTCAGTGTTCGTAAAGATTAAGTAAATTTATTTCATTTCGCATATATCGTACTGATTTTTTGAGAAAAAAATAGAGTCTTATATATAAATATTTCGGTTAGGGGCTGCATTGGCGCTAATATTAAATTTGAATTGAGAGCGCGCAAATTCCAATGCCAGAGCAAAAGTATCGATACAGCAAATCGTCAATCAGAAGCATGTTTATTACTGCGTAGGTCGAATTTTTTGCACATAAACATGGGAAATGTGACGTCACATAAGAAGAGTTTCTCTTACATTGCCAAATTAAAAATTCATTTATCAACTTTACTTTATGTTAATAGTAGGAAAACTCATGAAATTAATATATTTTTACTTTTAGACAGCATTAATACTGATTTACTTCAATTGACGCTTGGAGAAGCAGACGCCGAGAGAGTAATCGGACCCTCGTTGCAATGTAACCTCTCTCTAGCATTCGCTCCCACACACATTCAGCTCTCTCAATGCAACCTCGACCATCGCTTTACACATCTATACAGAGCAGAATTTCATCGTATTTAAATTAAATAAAATGCAGTGAAAAAAGGAGTACAATTTGTAAAATTAACGCGAAATGGCTACCCAAAAGCCTGGCGAATGGGCGACTGGTCTGCTGACTCGATTCGAAGATCAGGTAAAGGTTTTACAGCATTTTCAATATGTTGCGTCGCGCTGCCTTCGAGCAAAGTGAAAAAATGTACCTGCTGCTGGTGTTGTTTTGGTGTGGGTGTCGGTGTTAAGGAGGTGGGGCTGGGGCGCTCGTGGGGCCGGCGAGGCTTCATTCATGAAATGCCGAGCTCAGATTTGTTGAATGAAGTGCCGAGACGCGCATACCCTTAATGGGATGTTTTGCGATTCACTAATAAAGTTGCGAATTCAAATTAGCGATTTTAATTGAAATTGTTTAAGTAAACAAACGCTTTAAAATAAATGCGTACATCAAAAGCTGTTAGGTTGTCTTTTACTAAGGTCAATTAATAAAACTTCTTTCATTTGCAGCTGCCATACAAAATCGGAGCATATGGCACTCAGGCTCGTATGAGCCAGGATCAGTTGGTGACATGCCTCATACACATCTCTCGATACCGCTTCTCACTGGTCATCTCCGGGCTGACAAAAATGCTGCAGCGCGTCAACGAGGCTGTAAGTATATCACAGTTCTACAAATACTAAAGGAAAATGCTAATTATAAATAATTACAGGCGCGACAACCGCGTCATGAGCCGGAACGCTGCTACTTTGAATCTCTGGTCATCATATTGACCACGCTGGAGCGCTGCCTAACGAACCAAACGAAAGATACCGCACGCTTTGAGGAGGCCATGAATGTAAAGCTCCTGTTACGCGAAATTTCCCAATTCGTAGACGTGCAGAGCGATAACAATCCCAATGCGGCTCAACTAAAGGCTCTCGCTTCCAAGGTGCTCTTTGCACTGTCCCAGAATCACTTCTCGGCTGTCTTCAACCGCATATCAGCGCGCATTCAGGAGCTGACATCGTGCTCCGAAGAAAATCCCGACTACAACGATATAGAATTGATACAACACATTGATATGGATATGATCAAGCTGACCAAGCTGTTGCAAGGTATAACAGCATGTCATTACCTGCGAATTTTTATTAATTATTTATCCCTTGTAGAAACAATTACCAAATTTCGCTCAAAGCGCGCACCGCCTCTCATTTTGCTGTACTCCTTAGAGAAAGCCATTTGGAATTGGATCGAATATCATCCACAGGAATTTCAGGACTTGCAACGCGGCACTAATCGCGATATATCAACGTTAGCTAGCTTATATCTAGCAATGAAATTCTACTAATATAAAATTTGTATTTTAGCTGCTGGGAGCCCCTGCTGGACTTTGTTGAGTATTTTAAAACCGAGAATAAAAAGAGCAAAACTTTAGTTTGGCCCCTGCAAATGCTGTTGCTCATTCTAAATCCCTCCAGCCTGGAGGCCACTGTCAACGAGCTGCAACAGTCGGAGAAGGAAAAGGAAAAAGAGAAGATGCCCTCGAAGTCGACACAATCGACGTCACGCGACAAAGACTTCTCGGCGAGGCAATTCATTGAGAGCATAAAACGTGGTCTGGGCCCACATTCGCCATCCAAGCAGGTGACCGAGTCCTCGGCCATAGCTTGCGTCAAACTCTGCAAGGCGTCCACGTACATCAATATCAATGACTCCAACAATGTCGTCTTCAAGTTGGTGCAATATTTTATTAACGACCTGAAGGCGCTGCTCTTTAATCCCGTGAAGCCCTTTTCACGCGGCCAGGGCTACAATTATGCAGATATTGAACTAATGATTGACTGCTGGGTCTCGTGCTTCCGTATCAGTCCACACAACATAGAGGCTCTGAAAGTGTGCTTGAATCTCTCTTCGCCGCAGGCCTATCACTTCGTTATCGTGTGCTCCTTGTTGCGGTGAGTGAAATGTGAAATTAAATGTAAATTCCAATATTCATATGCATTATACAAATTTATAGCCTAGCGCACATTTATGTGGATTTTCGACTGCAAAATAAGAATCCCTTTCGCATTGTCAACCAGCCGCGTCTTCCCTGGTGGCCGCAGACCGACGTCGTGCACTATCGTTCCGCTGAGCTACGCGCTCTCTTCACGGATACATTGAATAAAGCCACGCAGGGCTATATAGCCCATACACCACTGCGGTACATAACTTCGTTAACGCTCAAGTCCAAGGACACGCAAAAGGGTCTGACTCGTTCGGAGGAGGGACCAGCCCATAAGATGCTATTGCTGCTATTAGTGCGTCTCATACATGCAGATCCTACGCTTCTCTTAAATGTAATCACAATCATACATTTCAATTTTAAAAAAATTAAACAAATTTACAATGTCCTCAATTTCAGACGCAAGGTAAAGTGGCGCATGAAGTGCAAAGCTCAACTCTAGAGCTTATTAATGGCCTAGTAAGCCTGGTGCATCAAACGACCTTGCCAGATGTGGCTCAAGAGGCCATGGAAGCCCTACTCGCCCTGCATGCACCTGAAAAGATCGAAGTCTGGAATCCAGAAGCACCCATCAACACATTCTGGGATGTCAGCTCGCAGGTCCTCTTCTCCATCTCTCAGAAGCTTATTCAGCATCAGATAGCCAACTACACTGATGTACTTAAATGGCTCCGTGAAATACTAATCTGCCGCAACACATTTCTTCAGCGGCACAAAGACTATGCCCATGTGGGTAGCCAGATTGCCATATGCAAGCAGGCGCACATTAAAATGGAAGTGGTCTTCTTTATGTATTTGTGGAGCGTGGATTTGGATGCGGTTCTGACCTCGCTTTCCTGTTTTGGCCTGCTCTGCGAGGAAGCGGAGATCTGCTGCAGCTCTGATGAGTTAACAGTGGGCTTCATCATGCCCAACTACCACATTTACCAGGAGCTAGCACAACTCTCTTCATGTG